GACCCACGAACCCGGAAAGGAATATATAGAAATGTAAGGCGTGGCAACGTTTCAAAGACACCTGATTGGGCGACAGGCAAATGCAATGCTGAGTTGATCGATCTTGATGTACTGTGCCGAGGGCTGTGTTGTGCTACGCCGTGCTGAACTGCGATGTGCCATGCCGCGATTGTGCTCTACATAGCGTTGTGGATCGAGTCCTCTTGGCATCCGAGTCCTGACCGAACTGATCTGGATCTTAAGCTCGAGCTGCCTGAGCAGATGGTAACTGCCCCAGAACTAATCGGCAGGGGGACATGCCAGGAGGACGCGCCGCGGAACGTCCCAAGGGACGCGCCAGGCGACGTGCCACGGGACGTGCCATGGGCACGCAGCGCGGGACGTGCGCCAAGGGGACGCGCTACGGAACGTGCCAATGGACGTGCCACGGGACGTGCCAAGGGACGCGCCGCGTGACGTGCCAAGGGGACTCGCCACGGGACGCGCCACGGAACGTGCCAAGTTGAAACGCTGAATGTATCGATCTTGCTGTACCGTGCAGAGTGCTGTGCTGTGCTGCGCCGTGCTGACTTGCGATGTGCCATGCCGCGATTGTGCCCTATAGCGTTGTGGATCGATTCCTCCTTTGCATCCAAGTCCTGACCGAACTGATCTGGATCGTGAGTTCGAGCTTCCTGAGCACATAGTAGCTGCCCCAGAGCTACTTGACAGAGGAACATGCCAGGAGGACGCGCCGCGGAACGTACCAAGGGACGCGCCAGGCGACGTCCCAGGGAAGGTATCATGGGGACGCACTGCGGGACGTGCCAAAGGGACGCGCTACGGAACGTGCCAATGAACGTGCCACCTCATGCTAGATACCCGCCTGGGCGGACTGGACACGTGAAAACAAGTGGTTCGCTCGAGACATCCTCAACACATCTTCATGTCAGACGTCCGTTCCAGGCCCCCAGGAAGGCCCCAAGAGGCCCATGTTAGATACCCTAGGTGGCCTGGACACGTGAAAGCACCTGGTTCCGCCATGATAAAATACCCCCCCCTGGGCGGCCTGGACACGTAAACACACGTGGGACCAGCTCTGGGTAACAATTTCGGGTACACCCCAGGGTGGCCTGGACACTTTAAACAGTAGTCCTTGCTCGGGACAACCATCTTAGATATCCCCCTGGGTGGCATGGACACGTGCAAACATGTGGTGCCAGCTCGGGGCAATCATATTAGATACCACCCCGGGTGGCCTGGACACTTAAAAACACATGGTTCAAGCTCGGGAGAACCATGTTAGATATCCCCCCTGGTGGCCTGGACACGTAAACACATGTGGGACCAGCTCTGGGCAACCATTTCAGGTACACCCCTGGGTGGCCTGGACACGTTAAAACACTTGGCCCTTGCTCGGGACAATCATGATATATATCTCCCTGGGTGGCCTGAACACGTGCAAACACGTGGTGCCAGCTCGGGACAATCATGTTAGATACCACCCTGGGAGGCCTGGACACGTAAAAACACGTGGTGCCAGCTCGGGAGAACCATGTTAGATATTCCCATGGGTGGCCTGGATGTTTCCAGCTCGGGACAACCATGTTAGATACCCCCCTGCGTGGCCTGGACACGTTGAATTCGCGCCCCCGCTCGAGACATCCTCGCATTGTCTTCCCTGGAGAGGCCCCCAACGCGCCACCCCCTGTCCAGAGCAAGAACAAAAACTTTTCTGTATTGGGATCTGTGTTCGGGTAGCCTGGACACGTAAAAATCGGCGTTGGGTCCGACGCCATGTTAGATACCCCCCTGCGCGACCTGGACACGTGAAAACACGCGTTTCGCTCAAGACGTTCTCAGCACATCCTCATGCTAGACATCCGCCTGGGCAACCTGGACACGTGCAAACAAGCGTCTCGATCGAGACTTCCTCGACACATCCTCATGCTAGAATCGCCTGGGCCACCTGGACACGTGAAAACAAGCGTCTGGTTCGAGACGTCCTCAACAAATCCTCATGCTAGACATCTGTCTGGGCAACCTGGAGGCGTGAAACCAAGCGTCTCGCTCGAGACATCCTTAAGACCTGGGCGCGTGAAAACAAGCATTTCACTCGAGATATCCTCAGAATTCAGGTCCCCAGGAGAGGAAAATATATAACACAAAACAAACGTTTCGCTCGAGAAATCCTCAACCAATTCTAAAAAAACGTTTCGCTCGAGACATCATCAAATGTTAATTCGCCGGCCCACCTCGACCTCGATATTTATCGCAAAAGAAATTCGCCGGCCCACCTCAAGTCAAAACCGAGGGTCAACCATCTAAAAGAGAACCCTGGGCCTATGCCCTTTCCGGGAAAAACTTCTCAAGAGAACCGAGAGCGAAACAGAATTACCTCTCAAAAAAAATCAAAAAAGAATACAAGACAAAACGTGCAACACATATGAGTCGGGACAAACGAAAAACCCATAAACGAATATAAAACACCACAGTTAGAAAAAAACCCCGAACCACAACCCCGCAACCAACCCATCCCCCCCTCATGGCCCTCCCCCCACACCAACCAAACTGTGTAGTATCACGTGCTTTTGCCGACGACGCTGCGGGCGGAACTCTCGCTTCCATGCGGGGTTACCGACTTTTTCGTCACGGGTCGTTCTCGTTGACGCCCCCCCCGGGTCCAGCTACGCCCTCCCCCTCCCCTACGTAGGAGAGAAACGCCCGTCGTGACTTTCTTCGCCACTCTCAGTGGCTGGGCCCCCTCCCTCAAATATCA